GTAGGGCTCTCCTGGCCTGATAGAGATTACTTTTAAATTAGTGTTTTGGATTTCTTTAGATAAATACCCAGAAGTGAAGTTGCTGGGTCATACGGCAGTTCGATTTTTAATTTTTTGAGGTCTCTCCATACTGCTTTCACAGAGGCTGCACCGATCTGCATTCCCACCAGCAGTGCACCAGGGTTCCCTTTTCTCCACATCCTCACTCACACTTGTTGATTTAATGATGATAGCCCTTCTGACAGGTGTGAGGTGATAGCTCATTGTGGTTTTAATTAGCCTTCCTCTGATGATTAGTGAGGTTGACCATCTTTTCATATGTCTGTTGGCCATATGTATGTCCTCTCTGGAGAAGTGTCTATGCAGGTCTTCTGCTTATTTTTTTTTAAAATAGGATTGTGTGTGTGTGTGTGTGTGTGTGAAGTTGTATGAATTCCTTACATAGTGTGGATATTAACCACTTATCAGATGTATTATTGGTGACTGTCTTCTTTCACTCAGTAGGTTGTCTTTTTTTAAAAATGTATTTTATTGATTTTTTTACAGAGAGGAAGGATGAAGGATAGAGAGTTAGAAACATCGATGAGAGAGATAGTTAGAAACATCGATCAGCTGCCTCCTGCACACCTCTTACTGTGGATGTGCCCACAACCAAGGTACATGCCCTTGACCAGAATCGAACCTGGGGCCTTTCAGTCCACAGGCTGACGCTCTATTGACTGAGCCAAACCGGTTAGGGCAGTAGGTTGTCTTTTTGTTTTGTTGATGGTTTCCAGTATTGTACAAAAACTTTTCAGTCTGATGTAGTTCAATTTGTTCTTTTGTTTTTCTTGGGGAGACATATCCAAAAAATATTGCTAATTGCCTATGTTTTCTTCTAGGAGTTTTATGGTTTCAGGTTTTCCATTTAGTCTGTAATCCATTTTGAGTTTATTCTTGTATAATATGGTGTAAGAAAGTGGTCTAGTTTCATTGTTTGGCATGTGACTGTCCAGTTTTCCCAAGACCATTTATTGAATAGACTGGCTGTACCCCATTGCATAGTCTTGCATAGTCTTGCCTTCTTTGTCATAAATTGATCATATAGGCCTGGATTTATTTCTGGGCTATTCCATTGATCTATGTTTCTGTTTTTATGCCAGGACCATGCTGTTTTGTTATTATCACCTTGTCGCATACTTTGATATCAGGTAGCAAGATACCTCCAACTTGGTTCTTCTTTCTCGAGATTGCTTTGGCTATTCGGGGTCTTTTGGAACCATTAATATTTTTGAATGGAGAAATGACTCGGTAATGTAGGCAGAAGACTGAGAGAAGCAACATAAGACTGCATATGAAAAAACTATTCCCCAAGAACAATCCTGTGGGATTCACCAAAGGTCACACTAATTAATGCCTAATGTGTCCAGGTCCTTCTCTCCGTGCTTCGGTCCCAGCTCTTGCCACACCTCTTCAGTATTGCAACAACAACTAGCATTTTTTAAATGCTTACACTATGCCTGGCACCTTGCATGCATAATTTCACTTGATCCTCACAACACCCATGTGGGTAGACATTATTTCCCCCAGTTTTCAAAAGAGAAAATGAAATTAATGAACTTGCCCAAGCCTTTTGTCAGTAATGAGCAGAGCTGGGATTAGAACCTAACCTGTGGCCACCATTCAGTGGCCTGTGGAACCTGAAGGCTACTCCAAGGACATGGCATGGGTTATGCCTGTGTTTTAGAATCTGTACTTGGAGGAAAAATGAACAACTCTGGGCTGATTTGTTATACCTCGCCTTCTCAAGGCTCACTCCATCTTTGCTTGGAGGGTAACTGCTTTTTGCTGTTTTGCCACTAGATGACAGTATTACCTCAGACATGCTTTCAAATTGGCCATAATCTGGGACTGGGAAATCCCTTTCCCCCAGCAATTTCCATCCTCCACAGTGAGCCTCTAGGCGGGCCAGCTCTCATGTCACCTGGCTGTTTGCTGTGCCCCAATGCAGACTTTCCATAGGCACTGTCCACACCTGGGCCCCATCCCTCCCTTCCAGGAGACACTGCAGTGTGGCACGAAGAACACAGACACGGGAACATTAATGCCCAAGCTCAAACCTGCAGCCCTTACTAACTCCCATGTGCTCCTCAATTTCTCTGCCTCAGTTTTCTAACAACGTTGATGAGCAGTAAATGAGCCGATCCTTATAAGGTGCTGCCGAGGAAGTTCTCGAACTAGATTCTCAAGTTTGAACTAATTCCCATCCTGGGGACCTTTTGAACCTGACCCTGCACTGAGCTAGGGAACAGATCCTGTCTTCCACGGCGACACACTTGAATGTCAGCCTTCACTGCTTTAGCCCAAGTGAGTGAGTGGCTCTCAATGAGGCACAGTGGGCACAGGCAGATGGAGTCTTGCAGCATTAAAATTGGTTCATGCCGAAACCGGTTTGGCTCAGTGGATAGAGTGTCGGCCTGCGGACTGAAAGGTCCCAGGTTCGATTCCGGTCAAGGGCATGTACCTGGGTTGCGGGCACATCCCCAGTAGGAGATGTGCAGGAGGCAGCTGATCGATGTTTCTCTCTCATCGATGTTTCTAACTCTCTATCTCTCTCCCTTCCTCTCTGTAAAAAATCAATAAAATATATTTAAAAAAAAAATTGGTTCATGATGGGCCCAACCTCAGAGCTGATACTGGGCTCCACGGGGCAGCCCCAGCGGGCTTGGTGGGTGCTGCAGGATGAGGCTGGAAGGAGATGCTGGTCTTGTTCAGGTGGGCCTGGGGTACCTGTTGAACAATGCGCCTGCTTCATTTGGGTGAAGAGAAATGACAGGTCAATCTGGAGCAGCCATGGCCCAGCTTTGGAGAGAGCAAATGTGGTTCCACAAGCAGAAAGGAAAGACCCAACCCTCCACGATGGAGGACACTAGACCCCCGTGGTCCCTGCTGTGCCGGGTCATCCGTCTTGCTAGAGCTAATTTGGACTTTGAGGTGTGTGCTAAAGCCTATCAGGTTAAAAACCTACCTGACCCTTTGGAGCAGGTTAATATTAACTGTGGGTTGTTGGAATTAGAAGCCAAACCAGCCGTGGACGGGGCTAAATCAAACCAAGGGGGAGTTTGCATCTTTCTGCAGCCACTGAGATCCTTATAGGCCAGGAGCTCAAAGTTGTGGGTGAGCCATGGGTGGGGCAACAGTCGCAGGGACGGACGGGAGACGCCCGAGGAAAATGTCCTTGTTTTTTCTTCCAGTCAGTGCCCTCCCCTCCAAAGCTGTGCTCACTATTCTGATGCCATCACCAAGGATTAGCGTTGCTTGTTCTAGAACTTTACATTGTTAGGATCAATCAAGTGATTATTTAGGTATGCACATCTTCTTCCACTCAACAAAATGCTTTTGAGATTCATCTCTATCGTTGCTTGCTTGAAGTACTTTACTCTTTTTTATTGCTTAGTATTATTGTATTAATATAACACATATTTGTCCATTCCCCCTTTGGTTGGCATTATTAGGCTTGTTTCCAGTTTGGGGAGTGATTATGAATAGAACTGCTAAGAACATTCTTCCTGTGAACATGTTTTCATTTCCCTTGGGAGCTGCCCAGGAGGAAAATAGCTTTGCAACAGAATCGGTGTTCTGTTTTTTCCTCCATCACTGATCATTTATCCCCCAATACCCTCTTCCATCTTCCCTCCTCCCCTGCACACTATTGTCCATGTCCATGGCAGAGAAGAAAAACTACTCCAAAGTAGCACTGGAGAAAAAGCTCTCCAAAATGGTTGTACCATTTAGTTTATTTATTTATTTATTTTTAAAAATTTAAATAGATTTTTTAGAGAGAAAAATGACAGGAAGAAAGGGCGAGGGGGGAGGGAAAGAGATAGAGAGAAAGATTATATATATATATATATATATACACAAAAATTTGTTGTTCCACTTATTTATGCATTCATGGGTTGACTCTTGTATGTCCCCTGACTGGGGATCGAACCCACAACCTTGGCATATGGGGATGATGCTCTAACAAACGGAGCCACCTGGCCAGGGTATGGTTGAACCATTTTAAATTCCAACCCCCAGAGTCTGAAAGTTTCAGTTATTTCACTTAAGTTTCATTCTCTTAGCTCATGGTCACTACTTAGGACAGTTCTAAGAACCATAATATTGGTTCTTACAAACAGATTTCTGAGGGTTCTGTCCCCAGGAGATGCTTTCTACTTGAATGCCCTTGATAGGAAAAGGGTTTCCACGCTTGGCACCTTAGATCCGGCATGGAAAATCAGGAAGATGCTCAAGGGGCAATGAGGGAGGACGGTACAGCTCAACACACCATGCAGGACCAAACCCAACAACCAATTGGATGACAGGTGTTCAAGCCAGATCACCCTCACATCCACGAGTGGCTGTGTAACAAGTCACTATCCCATCCCTGAGTAATCAGAGAATTTATTTGTAGTCTATTAGCTAATCGTTCCCACACTGAGCACAGATCTTAACTAAATTTCCCAAGTGATATTTAAGTCTCTGTTCTCCATTATGAAACAGTTGATGAATTACTATGCTCAGATCCTCCCAGGGGCGCTTAACTTCATTTGTTTAAGATTGTAGCTGATTTTTGAGATCGCTACAACAAGATATGAAGTAAATATCATAAGCCAGGGGTCCTCAAACTTTTTAAACAGGGGGCCAGTTCACTGTCCCTCAGACCGTTGGAGGGCCGGACTATAGTTTAAAAAAAAACTATGAACAAATTCCTATGCACACTGCACATATCTTATTTTGAAGTAAAAAAACAAAATGGGAACAAATACAATATTTGTATTTGCATGTGGCCCGCGGGCCATAGTTTGAGGACCCCTGTCATAAGCTGTGATGTAAATGCTATAGAAGATGCGGACTTTGTAGGCAAGGTAACGACACTGCACGCCGGCTGCACAGAATTTAGCCAGTCACATCACTTCTCTTCGGGTCACTCAAAACCAGAGTGGGAACAAGAATTCCTGTTTCTATCCACCTACCTGCTGGAGTGGGAGTGATTCAAACGAGACGCAGCTGCATGGAATCGTGGCTCTCCACATCCAACCAAGAGCTCGATTGTGTGACTTATCTACTTCAGATCTGAGTTTCCATCCCTGTGAAGTGAAGATGATAGATGAATACCTTACAAGGTAGTTATGAGAATTAGGTAATATATGTAAGCATCTATCACAGTGGGTGCTCAGTAAATGAGGCCTCAAGACTAAGCAGGCGACTTGTTTGAATTATTCAAGCGTACGTACCGTCAGACACATGGCAGTTTTCTCCACAGGTGGCACATTCACTCTGCTGACAGCCAACCTTTGTTGAATCAGGCAGCATGTCCTGCTGATTAAAGCTCACACAGTGACATCAACAGCTCCTGGGCTGTGATTTGTAACCCAGTTTCAGCCTCCCAGGTGTCCCTGGTCCTCCAGTCATACGGATTCACCCCGCTCTTCAATATCACGTAGCAAATAAACTGGCTCTAGTCCTGGTACCATGGGAAATTCTTGTCCCCACCTCTACGTTCCCATGATCCTCAGAGGACCAACACTGCCTTTAGGTACTTCCTGGGTTCCCGCTTCTGCTGAATTCTTGATCTCCACGGTGTCTGGCCTCCTGCAGTTTTCCTTTTTTCATTCTTCATTGACTAAAATGTAGAACACATCCCTTTTTCTCTTCCATCAAGGTTAGTTCCTTTGATCCCTTATTACATCCAAACAATCAGGTTGTTCTGTTATTTTTTTATCTGAATACGAGGTTTTATTCTAGTGTCCACCTGTATTTCTGCTCCTTTATTTTCCCGCTCTTCTTGAATAGAGTGGCTTCTGATATTCTTATTCTCTTAAACTTACACTTAGTTTATGTGAGTGCAAGCTGTGACCAATTATCTGCTCTAGCCTGTTCATGTGTGAATATATACATATAAAAACACATTTTAAAAAATCGTACACTACAATGTTTTCACCTTTATATTACAGCTAGGACATTATATTGATTTTTATACTAATGGTCATAGATATGTTGTATTATCTATGAATTTTATGTTAGGAGGATAAAGGGGACACTCGATAAAAATGATAAAGAGATGGCGCTGGGTCTGACGGTGTTAAGAACCAGTGCTGTGGGTGCCTAGGGGTGAATCGGAGCCGCATCGCTCCATCCCAATGGCTTCTGTTTTTGCTGCAACCACTCTCGCTAGAGCAGGGGGTGGAATTCGAACCCTGCAGTCCAGAGCAAGCTCTGAGCTCCGGGTAGGATCCTCCTGTTGTGAGAACAAAGTATTCGCATGCCAGCCGCTTCGCCCTCTTTCCACTAGGTGCCAGCAGCAGCCCGGGAGACTGGATGGCTGTGCTGTGCTGCTCTGGGATTTTCTGAAAACAGCACAAGGACAGCTGCTCCAGCTTCAAGCACACTGCAGTCCTTCTGGCTGCTGACCGCCTCCTGATCGCTTGGTTCCCTACCTGTCTGTTTTCAGAACAACAGGGTATCCAGTGAGATCCAGATCATTACCATGAGAGGGGTCCCAGCTCCTGCGCTGGGGAACTCGCTGACCCACCCACGCGCCCACCCTCCCACGCACCAGCTAATCTGCTGGAGACTGAGCATAAATGTCTACCTTTCATTCAACATGTCATCACTGCCTTCACTCGGTCTTGAGAGCACCTGCACAAAAGCCAGGGCCTGGAGCTCAGCCACGGGGAACAGTGAACCTCTGATTCCTTCTAACGCCTGGAAAACTGTCCTCAACCTTAAGTACATCATGTTTTCAGGAAGAGATTTCTAGCTTCATGCATCCCCGTCAGGTAGGTAGCAGTCCCGGGGTGATCCTGGATGGCCAGGGAACTGGACCAAATGTGGCGGCCCTGAGGGTTAAGGTGACTTGGAGGACAGGCGGATTCTCGGCTGGGTCTGCTGCTGCTCGGCCTGTACCCGCCAGGGGAAACACCCAGGTGGGGTGCGGTGTTCTCTCTCCCCCACTCCTGAAGTTCTCTGTATCTGGTACAGGAGAGAAAGGATACATTTATCAAGCTCTCTTGCTCTCTAGGCTGGATAGCTCCTTGCTTCCTTATTTTCCAACTATAACTTCTGGAGGGCTCATGGATACAGGTTGTCACACACTTTGAAAAGCCCATTTTCACTGTAACAAAAATTAATGGGTAGGCATTTCCACCTCTGAGTTTTGAGCGGTTGTTTTTTATTTTCCTGGATGCCACCTGCCTGTCTTGGGGCCTGCTAGGTAGGTAGTGAGGCTGGGTGGCAGGTGGTCAGACCCGAGGGCTCATGTGCAGAGCCAAGCAAGCACTGGAACCCCAGTCTCAGGAGGCTGAGGAGGCTGAGCCACACATGCAACTCGCCTCCATTCTGCACTCTCTACTTCGTGATGGGCCGGCCTTGTTTCCATGTCTACTTTCTCCTTTCCTCCAGCCCCTGGTCCACAACACCTTGCTCCAGTAAGTCTGTTTGTCCCAGGTGACCTCTTGCACCATGTCTTATGGCTTGTTCTCCTAACTTGTTTGTAAAATCTTTCCTTCTTCCTAGCGTTGCTTCTGGTCTGTGTTTCCCCCTCCTCTGAGTCTGGGTCTGGTTGTGGAGCCTTCTCTCACGTTTTGCTCCATGGAGTCTTGGCTGCAGGCAGCAGTGAAGTGGAGGAGGGCTTCCTAGGAATTTCCAGCCTCGCTGACTCGCTAAAGCAGGCTCTGCACTGACAAAGATCAGTTGACTTCCCAGGTCTCTTGATATTACAATCCTAGCTTGAGGTTCCTCCTCCTCTGCCACTGGACAGAACCTCAGTAGAAACCTCTGAGCAGCACTGGCCCAGCGGAACAGGGCCTACCTGGCCTGCTGCTCTCACGGAGCCTTAGGCCAGAAGCACAAACGAGCACTTGGTGCTCACAAATGGTCTGCTTCACCAAGAGACTTCACAGATGTGGGGCTCAAAGCCTCAGATCATAACCAAGTGTCGGGGGCTGAGGCTCTGTTCCTATAAATTCCATAGAGACTTGGACCATGTGGGAAGGTTACAGCCATTGTCAAAAGCCAACAGAATCCTCTCCCTGCTGCTTCCTAGCCTTGGCAAGTTACCCAGCTTCTTTGAGTCTTGACTTCGGCATCTTCAATAGAAGAATAATTGTTTGTATCTTAGAGGGACTTTTATGAGGATTAAAGAGGATAAAGTGTGCAGATAATCTCATACAGCATCTGGTATATGAAAGGTCTTCACTGGTGGTGCCTGTTCTTCCCTGGTTGGATGTCACACTGCATTGGGTCCTTAGCAGGATGGTGCCTCATGCTCCCAACCTTTCCTAAATGTTCGCTTCTCTCTTCGCATCAACGCCTCTCTAAGCGGGGTTCTGTTCCCTCACCGTTGTTCCTAGAACTGATGAAGCCATTCAGCCTAAGTTGAAATTCAATAAGCATTACTATCACGTTATTTTATCAGACATGGTGGGCTGCACACAAGTTCATCCTTCACCCCCTCTCCAATTTCTTCCTTGCTAGTAGAGCCCTGATTTTTTTCAGCTGTCCACTCTTCCACACAGCCATGTGTTTATGCCCAACTCGGACACTGACGGAAAAAGCCCCATAGTTTTGAAAGCTGGTGCTGCCGAAGAACCAAGACTCACAAACATGCAGGTGAGAGCTTGGGCTCTAGAGCCAGGCTGGCTGCATTTCAATTCTCCCTCTCTCTCTTCCTGGATGGACGGTCTTGGTCAGATTACTGGACCCCTCTGTACTTTGGTTTCCTCATCTGCAGAATGGCTATAGTAAGAGCAGTTACCTTAACAGGTTGTAAAGATTAAATAAATGAAAAAATGTGGGTATGAGTTATGAGTGACCAGCACTAAGTTGAAAAACAATGAACATTAGCTATTGTTCTAGAAAACGAAAAGCCTCTAGGCCTGAGGGAGGCAATAATTCTACCGTCAAAGTGATCAGATCAGTGAAAGTTTAACCTTTTAAACACTGAAAGTCGCCCTTAACTTTGTTTACAAAGATTTTTCCAAAAGAGATGTCTGTAATCATTGTTTCTACTTCCTCCTCTACTTCCCCCGGCTTCTCCTTCCACTTGGCTATTCACACTAACCATGCTTCATTTGGCTATAGTGCTGGAGAAATGACAGAATTGTGTTGATATGAGAGGAAAGTCAACTAAACCGAGGACAGTGAGATCAGCATCACAAGGGGGCGTGTTTAATCTTCCCTCCTCACCCTTTCTGCTTCCCTTATCTGTGCTGTTCTGTCATCTACATATTCCTTATAGATGCACTGTGAGCTCATCTCTGAATCCCTACGCACCCACACCACTGCCTGGAGCAGAATAGTGTCTGCTGAATAAACGATGGAGAACTTCTCCTTAAGGATCCATTATTGCCCCTGGGAGCCAGTCTGCAAGGTTTATTTTGGTGGAAACGACAAAAGATGCTTAGCTAACGTGACTGAAGCACATCATTTTCTTCCCAGAAGGCATAAAGGTGAAGAGGGAAGGAGACTTGAGAAGGCAGACATCTGGCTTTCCTTCCCGACTGTCTCTGGTTCTACCTTCTGGAGAATGAACCCACAGTTCCCTGCCTTTATTTTTGTTTATCATAGAAAAAACAAGACTAAGTTTAAGGTGGGTCAGGACCCCACATACCAAATAAACAAGGAATCAGAACTAGAATGCTTGGTATTTGGGTGGGGGGTGAGGAGACTAAGAGATCCTATGCTTACCTTTTTTCCTTTTTCTTAATTCTGAAAATCACAGCTTCTGTCTTCTTCCCAATAACGATTTATGAGATTATCCTAGTGGTTGCTTGCTGGAGCTCTGCAGAGAGAAAAATTAGCTTTATAAGCGGATACAGTGTCCACAGTGCCATATGGAAATGAATGTAAGGACCACCACAAGGCGACAGGCCCCAAAGCCAGAGCCCTGATGAATGAATGGAACCACATGATAAGGTTCTCCAGAGAGTGGGGCAAAAGGAACCGATTGTCTTCCTGAAATATACCAGCAAGAATGCAGGCCTTAATTAACGAAGCCCAAGGTTGATTTTTCTTGCTGCCTTTTTCTCTGAGAGACAAAAATAATAAGAAATGAATGAGGCTGAAAGCAAATGAGAACCATATTGGGAAAGCAAAGCATAGTCAAACTTATGGCTGAGCCAGTTGCAAAGAGCTAAAGTTCTTTAATCATCTCACTGGAGATGTAGCCAAAAAAATGCAATTTGAAACACACACACACACACACACACACACACACACACACACATTTCCACACTACACCCTCCTCCTTTTTCGATGTAGATGAATCAAGATGGTGGAGACAGGACATGATGAGAACCATTTGTGCTCTCCACCTACTTTATAAAAGGCTTTGGCAATCGGTAATCTTTGCTGCCATGGTGTGGGGAATCCATCTTTCAATTCTCATTCTTTAAACATCCATTGTATATTTTGCATGGGCCACAAGGAGCCAATAAGCAGCTGGAATAGGCAATTTGTTGGCACTATGCTAAGATGGCAACCTATTTGAAATCCAGATCCTTCTAATAGATGGTTTTTCTAGGAGAAGGTGAACCAGTGTTTGGCCTGAAAGAACATCTGAAGGTGGGAATAGGATGGGAAATGACAACTTTATTTGAATTAAGACAGACTATTATTAGCTAATGAATTGATGAAAGACACAGAGATCTCCCTTGCGTTGGGGTTAGCCAGGCCGATTTAATCTGGAGGAAGATTGGTTGGGGGTGGTGTGATTGTAGAACGGTTCAATATCCACTCTACCTCACTCCACCTCACAATATCTCAGAGTTTGTTTAAGGCTTAAAAAATTACTATTATGATTGTTAACATAGAGATAGAAGACATACCTATCTGGCTTTATGAAAGTGGGCTGGGTGAGATATGAGCTTTTAATTAAGCCTAACTTTGATTGATACTAAATATATCTGGTGTATTGCAGGAACATTTTTATCCTACTTATGATGTTTCCATTTGTTAAAGGGAGCTCATTTAGTGCAACTCCTGGCCTTTTCTGGAGGGATCTTGTTCCTCATTGGGGTCTAGCGTTGGTAGGTCTACTTGGCCAACAGCCAGCCACATCCTCCCACCTGGCCTCTGTTAGAAACAAAGGATATTTTTGTCTTCAGTTGCCAGTGCTTTGTTTTGTTAATTTGTACAGAACATGGTCAGGGAAGAGGGATATATATATATATCCCTCATACACCCCAACAATGTTTAAGTGTCAAAAAATCTGAATAGAGAATTAGGAAATTTTAGTTCTAATCCTGGCTCTGTCTTTCCTTGGGTGTTTGAATTTGGGGAGATACCTAATCTTTTATTGCTTCAGTTTCCTTGAATGTAAAACTAATTCAAAAAATCATTACCCTACAATTACATGTGTCACTCTGACTTATGTTGATATATTATAGTGTATGCCAGAGACTTTTTTGCAGCCAGAGCAGCTTCCAGGGCTCTGTAAAGGCAGACTCTGAGGAATCTGTTAGTTACCTAAGAGTTGGCTGATCCGAGAGAAGATATTACGACCAATGATGTGATCTATCAGAGTGAGGGGCCTAGGTTTGGGCACAGTGTGGCAAGGTTTATGCCGGGAGTTCCTCCAGACACAAGCACCCAGGCACCAGTGTTTGTGCTTTGGAGAATGATGGCTGGACGAGGAAATGTGAGCTCAAAATGTGAGTTTTAATTTTTGCATGGACAACTATAGTCATCTGGGTAAGGCCATCACAACATCAGAAGTTAAGAGTAGTTGTCATGCCCAGCCGGTGTGGCTCGGGTTGAGCATTGACCTATGAACCAGAAGGTCACAGTACGATTCCTGGTCAGGGCATATGCCCAGGTTGTGGGCTCGATCCCCAGTGTGGGGTGTGCAGAAGGCATCCAATCAATGACTTCCTCTCATCATTGATTTTTCTATCTTTCTCTCTCCTTCTCTCTTCCTCTCTGAATTCATTAAAAATATGTGTATTTTAAAAAAGAGTAGTTGTCATTTCATGAAGGGCCAATGGTGATTGTGGTGGGTGCTCAGATCTCTCTCTAGAACAGAGGTTCTCAACCTGTGGGTCTCGACCCCTTTGGCGGTCGAACGACCCTTTCACAGGGGTCACCTAAGACCATCCTGCATATCAGATATTTACATTATGATTCATAATAGTAGCAACATTACAATTATGAAGTAGCAACAAAAATAATTTTATGGTTGGGTCACAACATGAGGAACTGTATCTAAAGGGCCAGAAGGTTGAGAACCACTGCGTCTAGAAGATAATTATAAACCTTGCAACTGTGTTAGCTCTTGGACAATCTGAGACTGTGGGTGAGATGCTGGGGGCGGGGATTAAAAAATGAGATCCAGGATTCCCTGAAGATCTAACCCCCAAGGCTTCATTCAACCAGGACAATGATTTTGTTTCCTGATCCTTGTTCAGATGAAGAATCCTTTCTTCCTACAAGGCCACAAGCGATCTGGAAACCAGTGGTGCTGGCGGGCCATGTGTTTAGGGGACAGCAGAGATGTAAGAGCAAAGGATATCCTTCTTCCTGCACTGCCCACGCTTTCCCCAGTACATGGGGTCTCCCAGCATTCCTCTCCCATGTCCCTACCCTGTCCAACGTCTGGAGTCACATAGGCTAATGAGCAAACATTTGTAGTGAGCACAGAAAAACAGCACATCTCTCAGATCTTAAAAGGGGCCTGCACCTTGAAAGTTTAACATTCCTGCTTGCTTACCAGGGCAGAAGACCATCTCAGCCTATGCTGCCTCCTCATCCTATTAAAGGGAAAGACAGCTCTGTTGCCACCTACAGTCTGGTTCTTTATGGACACTTGTAAAGAAGTGATGGGAAAGAAATTCAATGGTTTATGAATATCAGTGCACTTTTGTGCGGGAGGAAATGGAGTTTGGGATAAAGTGTTGTAAAACACATGAGCCTTTGTTTTATTATTTTAATTACATTTATTGTTACACAGGAACAAGACAGTCACATGGTTTGTAATTCAAAGGTACAAATGTTATCCTGGATAAATTCTTCTCTTCAATCCCAAGATGTATGTTTTAGAGACACATAAATCCTGGCTTTACTGATGAATATCAGGGTGGTCTTGGGTAGGTTACTTAATCTCTCTGGTCTTATATAGTGGGGTAGTAATATATATATTACAAGGTTATTGTGATTAAATGAGATGATATGTATAAAGTATTTGGCATAATATTGACATTTGATTACCATAAATGACAACAGACTCAGGTGGACAAAAGAGTACCTGTCTTTATTTTTCCTGTTTTCAGTCTAACTTTCTATCTTGAGTCCTCATTCAAACTGATACAGAAAAGGTTGTGTAATTATTTTGGGGTAAACCCAGTTAAATTCAGTGATTTCTTCGCCATTATAGGTTGTAACCTAGTCACAGTCAATACTTCCTTCTCCCTCTCTCTCCTTCTCCCTAGTCTTTGTTCCAGTAGGGACAGGGCTGTCCAACCAGTCTGGTGCCGTCACTCACACTGGCCAGGTTGGTGCTGCGGGCTGGGCTGGGGGTGGGGGCTGATCACCTACTTCTCAGCCTTGGTTTGCCTCAGTGCTCAGATGACGCGCTGCTTCAGATGCCCCTAGTCCTGTTTCCATCCAAGAAACTGTCCCCCACACCAGCAGTCCTCGGGGATGCAGCAACATCCTCCCAGAACATCAGTGGTCCTGCTCGTGGGCTGCATGCTTCTGGTGTGTTTCCTTGGGCTGGTCCCAGGGCCCCATGGGCTTGCTTCTCCCAGATTTCTGACTCAGGGGCCTTGGGTATTTTCAGATGGCCATCTGCACCCCTTCTGGGACACAGGAAACTCAGGGTGTCCTCTGGCTCCATTATGTGATGCCATCATTTCGACCCCACTGCTGGTACGTAACAATGGGTCATGCTTGCGGTCTCTCTGACCTTCATGCAAGTAGCAAGACACGGGTCCTCTTCAATCTCAGATCCCCTGATTTAAAAGGGTTCCTTTGGGTGCTCCTACCGGACACATCTGTGATGTGACCTTGGGGAGGGGCCAGTTTGGAAGGATACGCAGCATCGAATTCTCTTGTTTTGTCGTCAGCACTCCTTTCTATGCAGCTTGGATGGCTTCATCTGTTGGCTCGGCAGTGGAGGAGGCTGTGGATATAGGTGAGGAAGGAAAAAATGGGTGCTGCCTGCTCACAGCTTCTTGCACATGTTTTCTCTCTTATGTCTGGATAATTCCTTCTGAAGCCAAGGAGCTTGGTATTCTTGCTCCCTGTTCCTGCAGTGTTTGGATTATAGGAGGCTACGGAGGGTACAGATGACTGATGTATGTGAGGATATGTGTGCGGGGATGTGCCATTACTACTACACGTTACCCCATACTCAGTTTGCTATCTCTGCCTGTGCTGCTGCTTGGTCTCTGCTCCAGTGAGGAGCACGCCATCCGGTAACCCTGAAGAGGAGGAGTGGTTTGTTCCAAAAAGGCATCTGTGGATTAAGAAGAAGAGCACTGGCCTTGACATGAGGCGACCTGCGCAGAATCCAGACCCTGGCTCTTCATTGCTAGGTGATCTCGAGCACTTAATCCCTTTGAGCCAAGGTTTCTCATTTCAAATTTGGAACAGGGATCAAAATAGTACCTTTCTCTCAAAAGCTGCTACAAAAATGGTCAGGTACTGTTTCTGAAAGTGGTTTAGTGTCTGCAAAGCCCATTAAAATCTCAACTATAATTTTCCCAAATCCTCCACCCAACTAAATGATCTTACTGTTGAAGGTCATGCAAATAACGTGGGAAGGGAATAGTCAGCTGTCCTCCC